ATGACAATTAATAAAAGTATTCAGTGGGATATGAAAAATTAAATTTATGTGTGGTCCTAGTATAAAGTAACTGAAAAAACAAATAGTAAAATTAAACAGCACATAAAACCCACAGGCCCCATAATTAAATGTAGTTGAGGAAATAATGTAGGAAGACACACATAATAACTCCAGTGACTTTTCAAGTTTTTAACTAGTTCAAGTCTCAATAAGAATCAAGTGTTCCTATGTTTTAAATATACATGCCCTCCACTAAACTGTGCTTGGGTAGCAAATACTTTTCTGCTCATTTTTTAAACTTGATTAATAGCAAAATTAAACATACTCACAATTTAATAATGATATAATTAAATAATAAGAAAGCACAAAGGCCTTAAAACCTAAACCATTTATTATGGCATGCAGATAATCATTGTTTTCTTATTAGTTAGGGTAACAAGTCACTCTTAGGCACACACAAATTATCACTTCACAACCTTGTCCAAAATTAAAAAATCATTGACCCTAGACTTGCATGTCTGTGAGGCTATCCCTCTGCTGGACCCATCTAGTCATGTGACTCAGCCTGTGAACGCTGAGGTCTTGCAGGCAAGAGCAGAGAAGGGTGCAGGCTGCAGATACTATGGCAGGAGACCTCCGACTGTACAAATATCTCTGTACCAAATTTAGTCATACTTTAGTTGCATCAACTTTACACTATCACTGAGAATAGTCAAAATGCTTCAAGATTATTGGATTATTGTAACAGGGAACTGACCAACTCTCTTAGTTTATTTTTTTAATATTTACTTATTTATGCATACAAGAACTGGTATACAGGCCAGAGGCGTGGGGGGGGGGTGTGTGAGAAGATCCACCAGAGACAGAGTGGGGAGCAGAACAGGCAGCTGTACTGAAACACACTGCTGAGGGGAACAGTGCGTAGGTGACCATGTGGGTCACCTCCCTGCCTAAAGACTTAGTTTGGGCAACAGTGGCTGCAGATAGCTTCATAGGGCTGTGCTTTCACCCTTTGCACCACCAGGGAGGACTCTCTTCTAGTTTATTAAAATGTATAATTACAAAAGAAAAAATTCATAGGCCTACTTTTCACTTTACCTTGAATAAGACCTAACTTCTACATTCTGAAGTGAGTATAAACACAAAAACAGTTCTGAAGTAATATCTAGTAAAAATAACATCAATGACCACCTGCAATGAAGTAAGACATGGTATACATACACCATAAAATACTACGCAGCTATTAAAAAAAGAAAAAGATGAATTCTTGCCATTTGCAACAATGTAAGTGGACGGGAGGGGATTATGTTAAGTAATAAATCAGAAGAATGAAGACAAATGACAGGTCATTTCACTCACATGTGGAATGGGGGGAGAGGGGGAGGAAAACTACCAAAAAACAAAAACACCAAGGTACTGACAAAACTAAACCAAACGAACCCTAGAAGTTCGTCTGCAAAGTTGAGGATACTATAATAAACTGGGAGGTAGGACGGAGTGGGAACAAATATTGGAGGAGCACAATGAACTTTGCTAGCTGACTCTGGGTGCTTGGTTGGTGGGAGAGAGGTGGCAACAAGCACCCAGTAAGGTCTGGACCTATTCTTCTGAACTGTGTAGTAAACCATTGCTATTTCAATAAGGGAGGGGGAGAGAGTTAAGCTGCATTAAAACAAAAAAATAAAAAAATTTAAAGTTCAAATCAAAGGTAAAGAATTTAATGTATGGAATAATTATATAAGCTATCATTTTAAAGAATGTAAACACATTCTGTAATAAGTTAACCAAAAGCCTACAAACCTAAGTTTCCTATTATGATATATACTTGTTATCTTTTGTTATGATTCGTGTGAGTTGAAAGAGAAGATATCATTTGTTTACTATCAAGAGTAGCAAGCCTTCACATCCAGTATTACTTGGATGTTGACAAGACTAGAGGAGAGCTCAAGTTACCCACTTTAACTTTTTTTAAAGTTATTTCTTGGTCAAATAATTTGCTTAAAGAACTACTAACTTATGCAAAGAAGTGAGTACCCACTATTTCTACATGAAGCTCACATTCTGATAAAATTATTAATTTTTACTAGTTTTTATAGAAGCAGGACATAAAACGCTGTCACTGATCAAGTACATTGGCTGTTTTGACATCTCATATTACAAGAGTATACCCTATAGGAATATGTATTTCCTCCACAGAGGGGAAAAAAAATTAACCAGTTTCTTCTTCACAGAGGGTCCATTGGAAAATTTAACTTTCGTGTTCCACAGTAACTACTACCTGGACCTTACAGATAAACTAAAACTAAATTTCTCTAAAATAGGCTTGAATATATTGTAACACATTTGCCTTTATTTATATTCTAGAACATTCCATCAGCTATTCCACTTTCACTGAACTCTGAAATTCTTCAAATGTCACCAAGTATTGTTAGTGTTTGCATGTCCTCCTTCCTAATAAGATATTCTTCTCAGTTAAGTCTTAAACTATCATTTTAATGAAATTAACAAAAAATACAATTTCAATCTAACTAAAAATGTAAGCTTGTGTTCCAAAAAAACCTAATAATTATTAATAATTTAGTCAATTTATACTGACTAACCTATCTGTCCCTTTAATACTCCTTAAGAAAGGCTTCTGTAGATTTCATAATGTGAAATCTCCTAATTCACTGTTCCCTGTACAGTCCATTTCTACATGACACAAGAGGTAATTTCAGTCAACAAGAAATTCATACCATCAGTTATACCCTACCATGTGAAAGCATGACAGCGTTCTGAAAGTTTGATTTGATAACATCCGCAGTAACAGAGAAAACTAATTGCACGGGGCCTAGGCAAGCACTAGAGCTGGCTGGAGAAAAGAAAACACACAACAGTGTATTATTAAATATAAACCTTACATTTGGAAAAGATAAATACACTGATATTTTCTTGTTACCTCTTCACAAAAGGTACTAACGCAAATGACAAATAATAAAACTAATTTGGGAATAAAAAAATACAATGAAGTAAAAATAACTTTTTTTTCTATTTTGACATGATCAGACACTACATGAGAGTGTGGGGAAAAAACCAAATGTACCAGGACTGAGACTGTCACATTTAGTCAGTCATATATTGTACTGATAAAAAAAAGTCCTCAGTTTTCCTGGAGGCCTCAGACGTGAAGGCAGCTCAGCTAACAAAGCACTGTGAACGCGTCCCTGGATTTCCCTCTCTTCCTACAGGTCAGGCTTAGGACTCATCTTCTCAATTCTATAATCATATTTCTTTCACAGATTTTACAAATGTGACTTGGATAGTTTTTCTGGTCTTTCATACATTCTCCTCTTTACATTTTTGGTAAGGAGATGAAAAAGTGATTCAGTCTCTAAAAATTACTCAGGGTCACTATACAGGCTAAGATACCTACAGATTTTAAAGGTACTTTGTTCCACATTTCACTATGTAACTCTAGGATACCCATCATCATGAGAAGGGAGTTTCCACATTTAATTTGTCATTTGGAGTATTTGTTCAAAGGAGATTATATAATCGCCTTTAATTCACAAAAAAAAAAAAAAAAGCTCTTTTTAACATTCTCCAGCTTTTGGACTTTTTGATTTGCTAGCCTGACTCACTTTTTCCTGACATTAAAGAGAGAGAAAGAGAAAAAAGCATGTCTGAAAACCTTTTACAGACTTGAGCAATACAGCTGCCTATGAGAACCACGGCAGAACAGGGTGAGTCAGTGGGACACAACTGCAAAGAAAAGAGATTAGTTGTGCCCAAAGCTGCCTGCTTCAAGACCAGTTGCTGCAACGGAAAGTGGGCCCAATCTGTAAGCAGGTGCAGAGCCCACCCCAACCCCTCATTCCTTTTGCAAGACTCATAAGGCATTTGCTCCAGGCCAGCGAGAGGTCGTATGTAAGGCAAGGCGCAGAAATGGCCAGTGTCGCAAGGGCGGCTGGACGCGCAGCACAAAGGTGACAGGCCTGGTCAAACTTCAGCAAGGTACCCAGCAAAGACGCAAGACTGTTTCTCCTGTACTAGGGAAATTACTCTTTCTGCATGTAAAATGTGAATGTGACACGCAATCCCACACACAAGGTGTGCGGATGATGGAAAACAGGACATCTGAGAGGTCTGGACAGAGGCAGTCACTTAGGCAGGTTGGCAGGCTTTGACTTATAAACTTAATGTGGCATCTACCCTCCAGCTTGGTTCCACCCCACACCCAGTACAATCTAGGGGAACCCAGGAAAAGAAAGGCAACAGAAGGAACTCAGTTGTCATGAAAGCTTCCAGGGCAGTGCCCTCTACACAACCTCTGAGACTGCAGGACCCAACTTTCTTTCTAGCACAGAAACCAGGAAAACTTCCCTTCATTTTTCAGGGAGAGCCCTGGGCTGGGCGGTAGCTGGACAGGAAAGAAGGTACTGGGCAAGTGACTGACAGGACTGGAGTCAGTCAGAGGCAGTACCCCACCTCCCCCCTACTCCAACCCTCCCTCTCCTTGCCCTTAAACACCAGGTGTTGGTTAAGAAGGTTGGGAGCTTAGTGGGTGCTCTACCACCACCCGAAAGAGACGCGCTCACATAAGCACACCTATGCCAAAAGAGCTCAGGCCTTGGCCAGACACGGTTACCTGGGCAACGAAGTGAGCACACAAAGTACACAGCCCCCTTCCCGGGTTAGGCACTGGCCCAGCTACCCGAGCAGGGCGCCCCCACCCGAAAGTGCGCCGGCGTCCACCGCACCCCTCCCTTATACTCCAGGGAACTCTCGCCTCAGCTCCCCAGTCCCCCGGGTGCCGCGCGGCAGCCTGGGGCTCGCCCCGGGGCCCGCGCTTTAACCCCTCTCTCCCCGGGCCTGCCCCACCCCAGCTCTGTCGGGGTCCACGCCCCTGCCTGGACTTCACCCCGGCGCCCGCACTCTGCCCCACCAGCGCGCAGTGCGGAAACAGAGCCTGCGCCCCGTAAAGCCTCGGCCGCTTACTGCGGGTCCGCCGGGCTGCTTACCCAGTGGGGGGCTTGGCCGCCGAAGGGCAGTGCGAGTCCATGGAGCCCGCGGGCTGGGGCATTGGCAGTGCTCGTTCCGGGTGGAGTTAGGCGCTTGTTGCCGCCGCCGCCCTCATTTACTTTTTCTGCGCTGACCCATAGCACTCCCACGCAGGGTGGCGGAGGACAGCCGAGGGGCGGAGGA